TAGTGTAGCCAATCAGAGAACAGCATTCGTGATAGAACGCTAGTAGATTTATACTAAATACATGTATTCTGCCTTGAGATAGTACACGTACACATGTATGATCCAATACTGCATAAAATTAATAAGCTTTCATGAATACCTGATAGTTCGCCCCACTCTCTTGACAAATGCCCTGTAACGTATTTTGGCATAGGTGCGGAAAGCACTTCCCATCACATACACAATACAAGAAGCAAATGCCAACATTCTCATTATGTCGCGGCTTGTTGTATGTTCTACATGGTAATGTGATTCAGTCAAGCTATCATCTGAAAAATAAAAAAAAATGATGAAGTTTGTGAATCTTCCCCACTCAACCTTCACACAGAGCACTGTTGATGGCGTACATGTGCAAGACCCCCCATATTATATTTTCTTGTTATTAAATTATCATCTGCCTACTTCAAAATTTACATGTATGTACCAGACTCTGATATTACATGTATTTATTTTTATGTGGTTGAACTTGAATTATCTACATTACATAAAGCAAAAACAGAAGAGTTATCCAAATGAAAATTAAACAAAATAACATTGAACTCAAAATAATGGTTGGCAACATGGTTAAACAGTCCAGAATCAAGCTTACTATGGATGTTAGGATCCATTTTAAGAAGGTGCTTGAAAATGGCATCAAAAGGGAACTGTGAGAATAATGCTATTAGATCATTCTCTTGAATTAACATCCAGCTGGTTTCTGGTTCCTCATCCTGAAAAAAAGGAACCATACCATTCAATAGCGTTAACGATAACTATCGGTAAACGATAGACCTATATATGTATAATGTAACCAGTGGGAATTGGAGGTGTACAATTCATGGTCAGAGTAATATTGAGTGAGCTAGCTATTCTTAAAATTATGTAAGACCAATGCATCGTCACTTGCAAAAACTGAAGTTGGTCTAAGAAAAAATAAAAATCAAAAATCCCACATTAAATATTCCAGTATGCCCCAATTTGTATCACACCCTGCAATGATGGTCTTCAATATCTATCCAATTAGTTATTTAGGTTAATTACAGCACCTAACAAATCCTACCTAATATTATAAAATACTTATAATTGAAGGCTTTCCTGCAAATAGGGTGTATATAGCATTTTGGGGCGATTTTTATTTTTTGCAGGATCAAGATACTTTTTCGCAGACTGACTTGTTTTGACATGAAAAGCATAGTTGCGTATTGTTTTTGCTGATTTGCGCTTCGTTTTTGAGAAATAACATATGCAAAAAAAAATCAGTTTTCCGAGTGGCATCTTTTGGAGCGAATCCTTCCAAGGTGGATTTTGACACGGTGCAAACCTAAACGGTTACTTTAAGCAACTTCGACAGCACGGTTTTTTTTAAATAGATGTTTTGATTTTTGAAAGAAGTAGAGAAATAGACCGGAAAAAAAAAATCGACCAACCTCGTATTGAACCCGTGTCACGACAAAACAAACTCAAATCCGGCCCGTTCAGTGCCTTATTTGCTTGCACTAACGAAGCAACAGAAAGAAAATTGTGTAATTATATGAATAATAAAACTAGCGACAAATACCACACTTCGGTGACTTCATCGTCTAGCAAAACAAAGGTTTCTTTTGTTTTTTGCTCAACAAAAGATCTCCAAAAGATACCCTTGAAAAACTGAGTTTTTTGCATACGTTATTTCTCGAAAACGAAGCGCAAATCAACAAAACAATTATGCAACGATGCTTTTCATGTCAAAACAAGTCAGTCTGCCAAAAATTAGCTCGATCCTGCAAAAAATGAAAATCGACTCAAAATGCTACATATGCCCTTTTTGCACGAAAGCCTTCAATTGTACAAGAAAATAGCTCTTATAAATATTTCTCACATTTTGCTTAAATGTTTGGGATTTATTCCTATATTGACAGGCTTGTGAACATAATACAGAAGCTGCAAGATGTGACAAGTTTACAAGGTAAAGCAAGTTATTTATTAGCTTTGTTCAGTATAATAAATTGTTTCCTACCAACGGTTAAGTCCATTGGAAGATACAGAGAACTGATAAGGAAGTGCAAAGGTAAATTCATGCTGAAGCCTGTAACTCACCTGCACTGCAGAGCTTATTCTGGCTTCAACAGAGAGTGAAACAACTAGGGAGTATTGCTCACAGTGTACTTTCCCTTGATGAATGCTTGTCTTGCACAAGCATACCCCTCTCTGCTAGCAGTTTGTTAATTAATTACTGTTGCAGTTTTGCAGTTGCCATGTATGCTCCAGGGTCGAGAAAGGTACCATGAGAGTTTAAGTAACCAACTCCTCGGTGACACAGTGACCCCAGCTGATGTTTAAACCAAGATTGCTATATCACCAGTCCCGCATTGACTCGTATGTTGACCTGTATTTAATTTCATTTTGGCAGAAAATACTGAGCAGTCAAGTATATTGGCAAAGGAATCTATACCACTGCAAACAATAAAGACAGAACCTGTTAAAATTAGGGAGAGAAAAGAGAGACGAAGGAGCCCTCATAGAACAGAAGCAAGAGAAGAGCAAATAAGCCAAGGTTACAAGTCTTCTGAGAAGACAGAGAGTGAGTTTACAATGACAGTTTTTGAATTTACTGTGCATCTGTACATGAACAAGTAAACCTTTAAATTTCATCTTAGTACAGCTAGAATATACTGTTGTCCAGTACAATGTATCTTATTTGACATTTGAGCATGTTGTATTGCTGTTTATTATGTAAGCACCAATGAAATACTGGGTGAGCTCTCACGTGAAAGCATGATATCTTCGCTCATGAAAAGATCACTGTTGCTATTTAAACAATAGAGTGTTT